GGAAACATTCCGTCTGGCATGGCGGAGATGCCACAGCCAACATTTATTCTTTTCTCTACTTGTAATGTAACCTTCTTCAATATCCACGGCATTAAAATTGTCATCCTCTGTCACCTTTCACGAAAAAGTTTTCTGCTCTGAATGTACGGGTCGAGTTCGTAAGTGGGTGGTATGATTTGTTAACTAAAGTTTATTTGTGGCTGTTTTTAGGTGGCGGATGTTAAGGAATTTGAGGATGTTAAGGAATTTGAGGCATATCTTGGTATGTTCGCTGAACCTGACTGTCTACGTCTCTATCAGTTGGCAATGATTAAACTGGATGGAAGTGGCATTCCCTACAGGTGGGCTCCAGTAACCATTTTGCATGAATAAGCATTCCAGCATAATTTACAAATGATTCCCTGACCTCAGCGTTCATGCAAGGCAGAGAGACGTGCATTCAGACTGCACAGTAAATTTTGTTATATTTTATTAAAAACATTTTATAATAAAAGTTGATTTGAGTTTCACGCAAAATTGTACGAAACTAAAGTCAACTTGATGCACAACACAAAATATCTTCTATGAGCATTAACTAGCTTTGGGGTGTGCCGAGTGAAAACAATGCATAAGAAAGGCAGTGAATAATACTTGTACTTTGTTTCAATTTTGGGTTTAATATTGACTAATTATGAAGTTTTAAAACTTCAGTACCTGCATTCAGTTTCTCGCTCTTGCACGACAGGTGTCTGCGTACTCAGATGGTGCGGTGCCGCTCTGACATGGAGTATCTCGGCAAACTGCACTGTATCCGCCTTGCATTCCAGTACATCTTTAAAGACGGTGCTACGTGGCTGTGGTTTGCGGACACCGGACGACAGATGTTGGCCGACCTCATCATTTGTGCCGAGAAGGTATGGACTGTGTAAAATTTAATGCTGAAACTCATATCTGGATAAATGTATTCAGATAATATTTTATACTGAGAGTCCAAACAGATTTTATTACTCTCATGTCACAGAGATGTGAACCGAATTATACTGAGTTTTAGGACCCTAAGGACTTCCTGATAGCCTTTGAGGATATGCTGGAGTTCCTGCAGGATCACAGCAACTGGATCAGCATAGAGCAGGAGCTCAGCTTGAAGGGAGTCAAGGCAATGACGTTCTATGATATAGTTCTGGATTATATTCTGATGGATGCATTTGAAGACATTGAATCTCCTCCTTCCTCTGTAATGGCTGTCGTGCAGAATCGCTGGCTGTCCAGTGGGTTCAAGGAATCGGTGTGTATGTTAACTCTGAGAATTTGTCTACATTAAATGCAGATACTGTTTATTTTGCATGCAGCAGGTTTTGAGAAAGAGGCTGGGTAGTGTTCGTGGGTTTTTTGTGCAGACGGTACTTCAAGAAAATCGGAGAGTAGTCGCTTCCCATTTATAAATATTTGTCTACATTCCTCAGGATTTCTCAGTTTAGTGTTATCTTCTCTTCTCCATTTCAGTCTTTCCTATGGCCACTTTCAAAGAGGCTTCCCCACCAAAACTTGCGCGTACACGTGCTCATGACTACATTAATTCCAGGCCCTGTCAACAGCAGTGTGGTCGTTGCTGAAAGCTAAGCGACGGATGCTGAAGTTTCCAAATGGCTTCATGTCACATTTTTATGACATCTCAGAAGAGATATTGCCTTTGATGGCGTGGGGCTTCCTTGGTGATGATGAGAAACTGAAGGATGTCTGCCAGTTCTTTAAAGTATGTATGGAGCTCTGGAAGGTACAGATAGGTTCAAGATGGATGAAATATGTTTACATTTTTGTTACACCTTTTAGTTATTGTTGTCTCGCAACATTTTGTTGTTACACATAACATTAAATGCTGTTTACAGAGAATAGTTAGAAACTCTTACAGGTCTGGAACTCTGTATGTTTACGTGTGTGTGTGTGTGTTGGCAGGTAAGAAGCAACAGAAATACAAACTCTTAGAAAGATTTTCCACCATATTCAAATGTTTCTCACGATAGAAGTTTTCATTTTTATCCCAGGCGTTGGAGGGTTGTGAAAGTTATTTTACTTTCAGAGGCAGTCTTAAGCGGGCAACAGTTGAAAGTGTGATGTCTTTCACTGTTTTGACCTTCCACTCTGTCTGTGAGCTGGGGCTGATGTTTGAGCACAGTGTGTTAATTCCTATGATGTAAGACCGTACTCTTACCTATGACATACTTTTACTTCGCAGGATCAAGTAATGGCGTTCCTGTGTGATATCTTCAGTAGCCAGAAGTGTCATTTTACTAGTGTGGAAGAACTTGCACAGGACTTACTAAACCATCTTAAGTTAAGAGCAGAAGCAGTGAGTCAAAAAGTGTCAATTCCGAGTAATGTTAACGTGCATGTTTGAATGTTGTTATGGATGCACTAGTATCATGTAGATATTATAAATGCTTGACTGAAAATGTCATTTATTACTTAGCAAGCACAATACAAAATCATTTTTAGAACTATTTTAAAGGTACTCTAAACACTTAACAAAAGAAGACCTTTTACCGATAGTTGCAGTTAAGAGTTGTTATTATTTTCTTTATCATTCTTTTCAGGAAGTGAAAGTGAAATTTAATTTTTGTTGGTGGAGGTTATAGAATTGTTGGGAAGTGTGCAACTTCTGTGTGGTTTTATCATCACATTGTTGAAATGAAAATGTTATAGTGTGAACAAGACTACTGGATACACTTTTTGTAAATGGATGAAGAAACAATTTATCATTCCGTTGCATTAAAGCTGAATGATACAATAAAGTGAATGCAACATACTCTGTGAACAGAATATGTCACATTTTATAGAACTGCAGCTCATTGTATACATACGTGTTTTTGTGAGGTTCAGTTCACATGTGAAATAATGTCCAAGAGTGTGGAAAAATAATGGCAAAGTGTGATGTATTCATTATTCTAACAGGGTAAAATTGTTTGGAACATAAGTTTAAATTCACTGGCTTCCTCTCGTCATAATTTGTAATCCGTAATATCCTCACTTTATTTGTGTTGTGAATAATTACATTTAGGGCGGGGGGGGGGAATTAGTGCTTATTCATGAAAATGCATTTTGAGTGATTCCACGAACAAATTTGCAACTTAATGGAGATGTGGATTGACCCTTACGAATATTGAATCACCATGGATTATGTTGGCTAACTTGGGAGTTTTTCGTATGTTGGTATTTCACGATGCTCAATTGTCTGTTCTACATCAAATGCATAACCTTGTTGCTGCTGTTGGTGTTATCTGTGTGTTGGAGTATGGCGAGTTCATCAAGGTTGGTGTTATTGTCATAAATATATAATTTGCGAACATTGTTTTTACCCATATAATATCTTGACTTATAAAATGTTGTTTTTTAAAGTTAGTTATTCATATATGATTGGCGTCTAGGTCTCCTTTTTTCTGGATATATGTTTCAATTTGTGCGCTTGTTTTAGGTTTGACACCAATACAATATGCTGCAGTGCTCATCCAGATGCACCTTTGATTGAAGATTATCGTGCTGGTGATCAGATATGCTCAGAATGTGGTCTTGTAGTTGGTGATAGGTTAGTAAAATTTATCCTATCAAACTGCAGCACTATTTCAGGCTATAGACAATAACATTGTGGAACTGTTTTCAGAGTAATTGACGTGGGTTCAGAGTGGCGAACATTCAGCAATGAAAAGGCAGGTGCCGACCCATCTCGAGTTGGTGGACCAGAAAATCCATTGCTTAATGGTTCTGATCTTTCAACAATGATTGGACCTGGACGTGGAGATGCCTCCTTTGATGGTTTTGGTGTCTCAAAATATCAAAACCGAAGAACTGTAAGTAATAACCACTCTACCATGTATCATTGGTGTGGTGCTGGTCATGTGCAGTGTTTGAGTGGAAAATACACTATCGATAGTAGCTGCTTAATATATATAAAATATTTGTAATGTGAAACGTGACTAATTTTAGCAAATGAGTTCTACATGATTGTTCCACTGGGTGATTATGAATTTGTAAACCAAGGAACATGTTTTGACGTAAATACGTCTATACGGAAGGGTCATTCGGCAAAAAATTCAAAGGAAAACGTGTAAGATCCATATCAACAATGTGTAAATATGGACCGACAAGAATGATATTTACGTCAGATTCTCCAGAACCCTGGTTTCACTATCAACTTTTGTTTTATTTTTTGTTTATATTATTCATTTTCATACTAGTTGTTGGCTGATTATTAGTTTCAAATTTTATGAAGTTTGTTTTCTCAGAGTTTAAAAATAAGGTTATTGGACATCAGTCATTTGTTCCTGACTGTAAAGGTATGATTTGACAGTTCCATAAAATGGGTTCTGGTTTGTCAAGGCAATGATGATAGAGACAGTAAGTACCTCAGGAACATCGGTTGTTTTCTGAGAGAGTACGCAGATCAATTTCGTGGAAAAGTCATCTTCACAATCACTGCCATGAGAACCTGAAATCTCACTTCGTTCTCATAATGTCTCCTTTTCTAGATGAGTAGTTCAGATAGAGCGTTAATCAATGCATTCCGAGAAATTACCAGCATGGCTGATCGCATAAATTTGCCAAAGACCATCGTGGATCGTGCTAACAACCTTTTTAAGCAAGTACACGATGGGAAGAATCTGAAGGGCCGAGCCAATGATGCCATCGCGTCGGCCTGCCTTTACATCGCGTGCCGCCAGGAAGGTGTTCCACGTACTTTTAAGGTAATTCCTTGATTTATATATTCTTATCCAAGACACTGTCCGTACTGCAGTTGGAAAATTATGTAACATTATTAAAATATACAAATGGTGGGTGTCCCCCAGTTGCATGATTTTTATTGGTTGAAATGCTGACACCTGGCATGATAACCATAAACCTGTATTTGCCAGAATGTTGTAACACATTTTGTTTGGTCTTATTCCTCGTGCTACAAATTATATTTGCTGCGCCTTGTGTATGCTGACAGATAAATTGTTCCTACTGTTGTGTTTAACAGGAAATTTGTGCTGTCAGTAAAATCAGCAAGAAGGAAATTGGACGCTGTTTCAAGTTGATACTGAAAGCTCTTGAAACCAGTGTGGACCTTATCACAACAGGAGACTTTATGTCACGTTTCTGTTCTAACCTTGGTAATGACCCAGCTCATGTTCTTAATTTAATTAAAATTAAGGCAACATAACTGTGAGCCCTCCACAGTTCCTTACTCGTGCATTTTGGTCATTCAGTTCAGTTTACATGTATCTTATTAATTCTGTCAAATAAATTTGACAATTTTCTGTAACACCTTACAAGCCCCGTACATTTTTTTGAATGATCTGTAAGGTATTTTTTACCTGAGGCTGTTTTCTTCACATGCTCTTCAATTAATCTTGCACATTCTTACCATTCATGCTATGTAATTGAGGAAGCATTGTTAAATAATCCAACAATCAATAAAGCATCCCGTTTGTAAAAGAAATTTGTGTATTTTAAGATTACGTCGTTCTGTTTCGCACAGTACGAACTTTTGTAGGTAATCCTTTGAAACTTAGAGATATAGGCCACACTGTAAGTGCTTACTGGTAATTTTTATTTATTACAGTTAGCAGGTTCTTGCATCTGTGTTTTACTTTCATGCAGGACTTCCCAACATGGTTCAGCGTGCAGCTACGCATATTGCCCGAAAAGCAGTGGAACTTGACATTGTGCCTGGACGTTCGCCCATTTCAGTTGCTGCAGCTGCAATCTACATGGCTTCACAGGTTTGCATTTGGCACCCCGAGTGCCATCTTCATGTGGTCAAATTGCTACCCCAGTATTCCATCTGAAAAATCATGTTCTTCTTCATCATTCGTTCATAACACTTGTTGAAACAGTGAAACACCATATTGTGTTTGTTGGAAATTTTTTGTCTCTGTTGAAAGTTTACTGTGAATTTAGATAAAAAAAAGATGCCATTAAATAATTTGTGATCTGTCATCACCATGGGCAATTTTTCTTTGTATGTTGTGTAGTGTCTGGATAACAAATACCAAAGTTTTTATTTCACATAGAAAAAGGATGTGTTGAGACTAGAATGGAAAACAAATTGGCCTGTGCTACACGTGGCAGCCGTGGTGAAATACTACCACTATTTAATGGATCTGTAATACATGTGGAAGTTTTGGTAAAGTCATTTTTAGAGTAAACATCTGCTGTGTAAAGTGATCGTCCTCAGTTGTTATACCCAAAGAAATATGAAACCTGTCGTGTATCATGTGTGTCAAAGGGGAGACGAGGATTAACGTTGCTTTGCTTTTACAAAGTTTATGTGGTTGTTGTACCTTCTGTTAAGATGATAACTTGCTCCCACGCTTTTGAATTGCAGGCTTCTGAAGACAAACGCAGCCAGAAGGAAATCGGCGATATCGCTGGCGTGGCTGACGTGACAATTCGCCAATCCTATAAGCTGATGTATCCTCATGCTGCAAAGCTTTTTCCAGAAGACTTCAAATTTGCAACTCCTATTGATCAACTGCCGCAGATGTAAAGCAAAGAGATGCAAGTTCGTGCACTTGAGATGTGATTGCAAGGAAGGGCAATTACATTGGCTGGTTTTTGTTAGGATGCAAAAGTGTAATGTAAGAGAAAGGTGTATTGTTAATTTTTTGTGTGGATGTAATTTCATAGAAATGGTCAGACACTGCTCTTCTGGCTGTAATACCTGAGCGAGACGTAATATAGGATCTTCTTAATTATACGGGATCTGACGTGCAGAGTGAATTTACTGACCTATGTGGACCTTTATATATACACAGTGTGACCACAAAGTTCCTTTGGGGTTTTGAAAAATTGTGGCGCGCAAACAAATTGAGCTAGTCACATGCGGTTTGCGGCAGATTACAGTGAAACTCTGGACGTTTTTTACTGACCTCAGACCTCGATGTGGGCTCCCTTGGTAGCATGGAGAACGTCCAGACGATATTCGAGCTCTTGCCGTGTTCTGTGGAGCATGTCCGCTGGAATAGCCGAGATCGCATTCCTGATATGGGTGTTCAGGTCAAGTCCGTTAACTGGTGTTCGGAACACATTGCTCTTGACATAACCCCACAGGAAAAAATCCAGTGGTATGTCTGGTGAACGTGAAGGCCAAGGCATTGGACCATCTCTGCCGATCCATTTTCCTGGAAACGTCCTGTCTAGGTACGCGCGTACCTGCAGACCCCCAATGAGGTGGAGTACCATCATCCAGATTTTCATTGTAATCTGCCGCAAACCGCATGTGGCTAGCTCAATTTGTTTGCGCGCCACAATTTTTCAAAACCCCGAAGGGACTTTGTGGACACATTGAACTAGCATAACGGTGCATAGAGTATGTTAAACGGCTGGTGTTCTTACCACAGATGACCAGTACCATTGTCTTTTTGTTGCACTGTATTAAAGGAGGGAGTTATTAGCATTCTTCTTCAATGCCTCTACATGTTTTGAGCAGTTTAATTTAATTTCCACTGGAAGACATTCCTGCAGTAGAAAGTTAGAAGGCAACTAACTCGTGGGTGTAGAAAGATTTTTTCTAATGGACTAAATCATAATTTGACACAGTGTGTTGTTAACTCTGATAAATGGTTGCCTTTTATTGTATTGATTTGGAAGTTATTTATTTTGTTAAATGCATGTTCACATGTAACAGTACATCATTTATGTGTGGCTTTGTATCTCAGTTGATGCTGACCTGTTGAGTTTATTAATGGTTCATGCAAATGTTCACGTTTTCCCAGTCTTTGTATCTGTTACATGTTTTTCGAATTCAAAATTTATTAATTTATGAATTAGCATGGGCTTTTTAATTTGTCAGATGGAAATAAAAATAAATAATAATAAAGCACATATATGTACCTTTGGCACCTTAACACATGACTAGAAATGCCAGGGCATATATATCTCTACATGAAAGAGGTAACAACCCTTCATTCCAGATGTGGTTGTGACACGATTATAATGGATAGTGAACATAGTATGGTGTTTCTCCAAGTCTGAAGATTTTTGACGTAAATACGTCTATATGGAAGGGTCATTCGGCAAAAAAGTGAAACGAAAACGTGTAAGATCCATATCAACAATGTGTAAATATGGACCGACAACTGTGGTCAGCTTACGTGCATTGTTATGTTACCTAATGATTATACATTACTGCCGCCAACAATCCGCCGTCATTATTGCGGAAATAGCTGAGATGTGAATCGGTTGTAGAAGAAGTGCGTCGTGGAGTAGATAATTTTGTGCTGGTAAAAACGTTTTAGAATATCACAAGTATTTATCTTATATAAGAATTATTTCATTACATTACTTCTTTTTCTTTTTTCCCCTGCTTGTCACGGTGTCGAATTAAAGCCTTTAAATACTACAGTACACGCCTTTTACTTTGTTCCGGGCCAACTGTTTAATGATAAGCCTCTTCCTTCAGGAGAAAACCGAAGGTGACGGGTTCTTCAAGTAAGTGCCATCTCTCTGTCTCTCATACAGTACAGGAATAATAAATGTACTCTCATACAATGAAGAGTGGATATACATATATAAAAATATAGTCATATTTCTGTGGAAATACCAAAGAGATTGCACCAGTGGTTTGAATATGTCTCAGAATGAAACAGATACTTGGCAATGCCAAGGGAGTAAATGTGATCAGTTATATAACTAGAGTAAAAAGTTGTACGTAGAAACAAAAATAAAAATGTGATACAAATTAAAATCGATGTTCATAATTGTGAACAGATGGGGATATCAAAATGAATACAGGGTGTGCCATAGGTTTTCCTGTCTTGTGTTGTAATTGTAGTGAAACTGTTGATACCAGCAAGACGTATCTCATGGTTCCTGCACTGCATACATACCATACTAGCTGATCTCATTTTCTTAAGGTACCTTCATTTTGTCAATTTAAAAATAAATGCAGTAACGTAATAACAGAACTTTCGTGTTGGCTGGTGAATTATTTTCAATTTTCATCCAGTAACTTTTTACAGCTAACAGTGTAACTGATGTCACCAGAATGGGCAACAGTGGGCTAAACGCATGTCACATATGAAGCCAAGGTGTATCTGTGAGGGAATAGTTTTCTGAAGAGTAACATAAAGATGTCTGTGACTAGTCTTTGCATGCAAACTGCTGGAAGAGATTCACATTCAAATGGAAAGTACTTGGCCAGTCTGAGATCCTGTGAAGTCGCTGTAAGGTAAGTTTCCACACATCATTTTTGCATATTCAGATACTTCAGGAAAGCAACGTGAACTGGGGTTTTAGTGTATGAATTAAGAAATACAGAAGTTGAATAAAATATTGCATGTAGTAAGCCATATATTTAACTCGTAAAAAATATTACAAATTTATCTATTTGACACTTGGTACCCAGGTCTCCATCTCTTGAATCAGATATATTTGCATGTTTCAGTAACGATCATGAATTCTCTGTCTCCTTGAACCTGCAATGAAGTAGAATTTTCCATTAACATTGTCTTAACAATGATTGAAGACTAAAATTACTTAGAATAAATCTCTAACCTTTGTCACCAGAATTTCTCTGCTGTAATATTGGCTCACTTTGATGTGCTTGCTCACCTGTTTAACATACATGCTAGTGTTTTAGGGTATTTCTGTTGTTTTCTGATGTTCCCAAGAGAAATATAATACAAAAAGTTTCTTACTGGAAATGACTTAGCTGCATATCAAAATAAACTGAAAAAAGGCAGCCCATGATAGGATAGAAGCTAGGCATATACTTACCCGCATTTTGTGCATGTGTAAAAGACTGTTTGTCCTTCATCAGCAGATCGTAGTTGCAAAGTAGCATATGACATTTTGTCATTCCTACAATTCGGACACTTTCTTTCTACTACACACCCATCTTCACCGTCTGCTTTTTTTTCCAAACCACTATACACATCAGGAGTATTAAAGTGGATGACATAATGGTATTCCAAACCTGAAAACACTAAGAACAATAATATTTTTGTTAACAGGTTGTTGCCCTGAATTTTTCAGAGAATGTGTACAATGGCAAATTTCTTGGCATGTTTTTATAAACCTGTTAGTTTTGATGTAGTGGACATAACATTTAATTTTATTCAGTCATTTTGATTTTAGTTTATGGATAACTTTAATGGTCCAATTTGGGGTACTTCAGTACTCTTGGTAGAATACGTAATTTGAAATTATAGCATTCTTGGGTTACAGCTGGACTGGAACGAAACCTGACCCTCGAAACTAGGTACACGTTCCTAAATCATACATTCATATAATATTAATTTCTTTACCTTCCGGACCAAACGTCTGTTTACAATTATAACATTTAACATCGCCCTTGGAGCTTAATCTTGGCAAAATTGTACCACACTGCGGACAAAAACCCGGTTCACTACTCAACATCTTCGCCATACTTGATATCACAAGTGGCAATGGAACAACTATAGTTACGGTTATGACAGGTTTGTATAGTGCAAAATTCGGTTTCTAAGTATGTAATGTTATGAAAAGTGTGAATTTGTAATTGTAAGTAATGAAGATGGTCACCCTGAATATCAAGTATTTCGTAGTCAACGTAGGTTGGTACGTCTGCATTTCATGGCTGGTTGAAAAAGTGTTTCTTATTCTAAGGAACGATATTATGATTATAATATTGCTACATTTAAACATGGTTTGGTTTTGAAATTGCTTAAATGTGTAAAATGGTTATTATTGTGGTGGTGAACCTCCAAGATAGAAATCTGAAGATTGAGTTGCACTTTTAAAATGAGTTTCATTGAGGTATCCTGTTTTAAACGTCACTATTTTGGGGGTACACAACTATTCCTAGTGTAATTTAAGCATTTGATAATTTTGTTAATGATTTACTTTTGCACAATTTTACAGCCATTGAAAAAACCAGTTACACTACCAGAACCAATTCCAGAAAATATGATTGAGGATCGACGGCTGTGGATAGGAAATTTGGATCCTCGAGTTTCCGAGTAAGTACCAAAGTGGTTCGTAGTCGATGCCAGTGGTTAACCCAGAAAAGGGTGAACTATAGTGTTGCTGCTACAAAACGCATTGTTCCATCCCATTTTGCGTGCTCTACTAAGATAGTTCTTCTCCAAGTGACATCTCTGTTCTAGGTTTATTAGTTACAAATTAAAACAAATTTAGAGATAGGTTACATTTTGCTAGGTCTTATAACTGTAAACAAATACCCAGACCTGTCCAAATGATCAAGGTATTTTATTAATTTGATGAATTACCTGCGAAGTCTGAATGTAACAGAGTCTTCTGTGGAACGTTAACTATTACTTTATTGTGCTAAATTTCTGGTGCAGTATTTAAATACTATAGAGAAGTAACCTGTGTATTATAGTATTTGTGACTAATACAGAAAATTAATCTTTGTATTTGTTCTGCGTTTTCTTTACTGGTACCACCTCCTAAAACTTGTGCAAAAGCATGGCACCATTGACAAATTCGACCTGCTCTTTCACCGCTCTGGACCTTCAGCAGGGCAACCACGAGGCTATGCTTTCGTAACTTATTCAACTAAAGTTGATGCAAGGAAGGCAAAAGATGTTCTTAATGGAATGGTGATGGGACACAAGAGGATGGTTGTGAGATGGGCAAATAGTGTTAGCAAGGTATTTGTTATTTAATATTGAATTGAAGCATTAGTTAAGGTTAAAATACATGTTACCTGTGTGTATCATAGAATTCATGCTGGTGACACCATGCAAGCTGTATCGTGCATCTTGCAGTGCATATTACATCCCTGAATATATGAAAATGTTTCACATTGTTTTCCAAGTGGTTTCACTTCAGGTTCATTTGCAAAATTGCAGCATAAATAAAATTAAACTGTCATTGTAAGGAATATATTCATTGATAATAGAGGGAATGGTTTGCCATTTGTTGTTCTTTACTTTTCAGGAAGAATTGGTTAAGCCAAAACCTGAGCTGATAATACCTGCATTGGCTGGGGCAAAAACTGAGAAGAAAGTCAGGTAAATATCCATTTCACAGATTTCTGGGTAAGATTTCAGTTTTTCATGGCAAGAAGTTTGAAGATGACTTGTCTTCTGGGGTGTTGCGTCATGTAATCACTGAGTTATTGCTTCAAAATCATAAGGATGCACATTTCTGCAGGTAGAGGAAACATGGTTGTCGCAAAACATCTGTTGTTAGGAATATATTTTGCTGTCTTGTGAATACCATAAAATGCAATTCTCAGTTTCAGTGAAATTAATATTTAGCTCAAAGTTGTGTAGGTTCTTACACAGTAGCATTTGTACATTTTGTTTTTTAGCCGACAGACCACAATCCAAGCTATTGAAGCAAAATTAAAGATGATGGAGCACAGTTCAGTTAATGACTTTGAAGTGAACAATGCTCCATCAGGAAGCTTGTTTACTCCTGTCATCCAGGCTTCAGCAACAAGGTACCGATCAAGAGGAAGGTATGATTCTAGACCATACAAGAGGCCATCGAATCTTCGAAGATGATCCTTCATTTGTAAGACATTTATTTAAATTTATTTCATACATTAAATTCTGGCTTTCAAAACTAAAATTATCATAATTTTTTTTTACATATTTACACTAAAAGAAACCATTGTATTACATGTTTATAATAGTGTTTATGTTTAAAATTATTAAATGCATTCATTTAACAGCTGTGTATTGAATATTAAGAATTTATGGTTACCATTTCCTGGATTTTAAGGTTTCCCTGCCCATAACAAAATCCCCTACAGCAAGACTTGTCATGGTCAGAATGTATGTGCTTTTAATATGAAGGAATATTTTAAAACGTTTGTTCCTATTTAGGACGCTGAAAGGAAGAGGGCCCTTTTAATTTTACTATGTCAGGAGGAGAAAAGGGTTAAATATTAATACATTGTCTCACTGTATGTAGTATGTATTTATTGTGTCCTTCATTGTCTTCATATCTCATACTTATTTGCCTCATCCAGCTTTCACCCTTTTGATATAAATCAGTGGATCATCAAGTGCTCTCATCACCACCATCATCATCATCATCTTCATAATCACAGTCCTTGTCACTGTCCTTTTCTTGATCTCTATTTTGTTTGTCAATTTCACTGGCTAAAAAGACAAATATATTATGTATTAACAACATGTAAATATACAAAAACAAATGTCCCAAGTTTTTGAAGTTTTCTTGATCAGTGCAATGAAACGTACGTGGTATGAGCACATTATCCCGCTTCAGAACTTCTGTGATAAGCTTGTTGATGATTTCTCGGCATCTGTCATCCATGCCACTTGGCATCCACCCCAAGCGGTCATGGCATTTAGCACCTGGTGCTGGGGCTGGTAACTTTTCCAACATCTCTTGAATTTCAGGCACATCTATATCACAATACTGAAACAAAAACCGGTTTACTTGCACTGATCGTATTCCATGTACCTGCCATACCTACCTACCTACATGTCTTCATTCTCAGTCCACTCTTATTGTAATTTATCATGCTACAAGCCATCACAAATGATAATAGTTGTAAATGTAGTAGTTTCCACTTTCACCATTACACTCCTTATTTGTACTAGGAACAAGGAAGGACAGTTGGTTTTTGACACACGTGTCAAAATATAAAACTTATCCTTATTTTTCACTTTTGATATTCCCTCATTTATTTATTTGCATTTGTGTTCTATAAAATAGTACCGATAAGCCTTCGTGTATATACGAATGTTCTAGTGTATATGATACCTGATAAAACATCTGCCTGGAAGGAGGCAACATTCCAGGATGGAATACGTAGATGTTTTCATTATTTGTGTTATCTTCACTTTGTTTTTCTTCCATTTTCTCAGGCTGCAAGTTTTCCTTTGTGATAACAGCCGTCTTAGGACGGCACGATGGACTCGATTTATAAGGCAGGAGATAGTTGCAGTAACTTCTCTTGGCCTTCACTTTCATCTTTAATCCACCTGAAAGACAAATTTACGGTAATTAAAACACTGACTTCTTATGTATATTTGGAAGGTACAATAGCTTCACTTGTTTGTCATCTATCATATATGAGAATTTTGGATACATACTGGAAAATGCCACAAAAATTCAAATTTGGAACCATTTAATTTGGTCAGTTTCCTGTTTGCTTTCAAAGTCTTCCAGTGGGCCAAACTGATGCTTCTGACTAAAGTTGTCAATATCACAAAGAACGTTTTATTTCATACATATTTTTATTAGGTACTGTTCGCATTTAGCAGAGAACAGAATAATTATGAAGACGTAAGTGTTCCTTTATTAATATTAGTGACATATGTCGGTGGACTTTTAATATTATCAGTTCATAGTTTTTTCTGTAATATAATTGCTTTGGATTCTGATGCTACCAAAGAAATATTTTTGCACATGTAGATTTTAAAAATTTAATATTGAAACTACTCTTCTGTCGTGTAGCCCATTTTCATATGTGTTGGTAAGGCCATTCTTTAATTCAAACAATTCTGACCAGTGGTGGTGGAGTTGACTCAGAATACCAGTAAGGTGTTCTTACACGCGTGTATATTGAGTGTCTCAAAATAACCCTGAAAAATTGCAAGTTCGAAATGCCCACTATGCATCATTTACAAGAGCTGTATTGTATCGAAATTTGTGACCTCTGTTCTGAAACTGGATTTTCTGTCACCATACCAACTGTTCGAAGTCTGTAGTCCAATGTCTGATACTTGAGAGACGTAGCATCTAGTCGTGGATCATATCCAAAGCGAACCCACATGACTCTCCATGGACCAGTTACAAAGTAATATGCAACTGCAGGTAATAGATATTTTAGCTGGGCACTGGAATATTTGGTCAAATACATAAGCGCATTTTTGGACCAAACAGGACGTTCTTCAAAGATCTGCAAATGTTAGAAATCAGCTATGTTTTACAGTTGTTAATTTATTCATTTATTTTATAACATTAGTGGCATGTTTAAAAATGTTTTCTGTTGTAATAAATTTAAAAACAAGAAACATGCTGTTCAAAGCATAACCTTTTTGACTGTCTCAAGATGTACTCCCTGAAGAAATTTTAGACGTAACAGTTTCATTGCAATGGTCCGTGGTTTCTTGGGAATATCTGGAATGTCAAATGTCACAAAGATTGCGTGACCAGATCTGCGGTGTCTTGTTCTGCCAATTATGTTTGGAGGTGTAGTGCTATCAACTCCCGTTTCCTTCCGGTACAGATATTGCTAATGAAATTAAACAAAATATTATTACAGTTATGAATGTTTATCGCTCCTGAATTCTCTATTCTTCATAGTCACACATTGAAATTTAGTATTGCAAATTGGGACGTGTATAAAGGGAGGCTTTGAAGTTTTGCATTGTGTCTGCCCATATCTTGAAGTGGGGGGGAAACAAGCTATTCTTATGTCATAAGAACAAAAATTATAATTTTACTAATACACAACTTATTTTGAAGGTTATTTTTGATAGTACTTTTCATAATTTTCCATAATTTGTACACTGCCAGGTATTATTATTAATAATAATCTGTGGCGTAACATCCTCTGAGAGCCAATGCCGACTAGCTGACTGCTGGCCTGACGTTCACATGCCTAAGCAGAGGTGAACGATCATCCAACCAGATATAGGGTGACGTGTGGTCAGCACGACGAACCCTCAGCCATTGCTAGTTTTCCTGACCGGATTACGGTACCCATTGTAGCTCCCCAATTTCCTCAGGATGCTGGTTTGGCACTGGTCGAAAATCTCATGAGAAATTTCTTTCCCTGAGACTCGAACCAGCGCGCATTCTGTATCACCGGTCCGAAGCATGATGCCTCAGACCGCGCTGCTACAGCGTGGGGCCAGGTATTATTAGGATGATCAAATTGAGGAAGGTGAGATGGACAGGGCATATAAAATATTGATTGTAAAGCCTGAAGGGAAGAGACACCTCAGAAGACTTTGGCAAACATGGAAGCGTGATAGGGAAATGTAGGGGGGCGTAGACTGGATTCATCTGGCTCAGGATATGGGCTGGTGGCAGTCTCTTGTGAAAATGATAATGAAGCTTTGTGTTCCTGAAAAGGCAGAGAATTTCTTGACTAGCTGAGCATTTTTTTTGCTTTTTTAAGGACAATGCTCCATGTTTTGGGTAATGCTAGGTGGACTTGGCATATGTTGTAGATACACAATTTCAGAGAAGTGTCTCCATCTTTGAAATGTTGGTACTCACCTGCAAGTCCACACAGCATTTCAACCCAGAAGACTGGCATCCTTTGTTTCACCCTCAAAGTAATTACTTGCTGAACAAGTACCTGCATTGTATCCATACGTGAGAAAGTAGCTGGTGGCAGGAAATACGGTGCATCTCCAGTCAGCCACGAAGAAGTAGGAAGTCCAATTGGAACCAGGTTACTGTATTTGCACACATTGGGCCCATGGTTACCAAATTCAGGATTCATGGGAAGGTACTGGAAGTCGCACAGATCTAGAGGTATTCATAATTGTGTTGATTTTATCACAGCAAGAAGAAAACACATTTAAGGTTTCCTAATGTAAATCTTTTCCTTATTTCTATACTTCCAGTCTCATGTAATCACAGTATTAAGTTTAGTTATTGGGTTTAGTGCTTGGGTCTACTGTTCTGGAAGGTAGAGCAATCTAAAATTCTTCTAAATAATATAGTTTCTGACAGTAAAACTTTTTCTTTCAATCACTTTCAGAATAATGCTGACTTACTTCTAAATCGATAAGCAGTTTCTACTCTGCCCAAGACAGCTATGCTGCAAGTCGTATTTCCTGAATAGCCCTCAGAATATGTGCTAGAGGAGCTGTCAGAGTCATCTACTGAAGATTCACTTATAATCTGGCCATTTTTATTTTTCTTCCGATGTACTGTCACTTTCAGGAGGAGTGATAATGTCTTATGTCGATCACCACATGCAGGTTTGCTGAAAGCATCATCAGGCCGAAAACGGAGTTCTAATCTTCTGTTTCTTAAAGAGTATGTCTGAAATAATGATTTTTATTAAAACAACTGAAATTACCAAGTTTGAAGTGAACTCATACTGGCAAGAGGAATGTATAGAGTATCCCTGCTCTCTTCTACTCAATCATAATAAACAGGCAAGTGGTAGTTACTTAGGAAATGATGGGGTAGAAATTTCTGCTTCTGGACACTTGTATTTTGAAGTTTTTGAACTGATTTTAATTCTGCAGTAGATGTAAATGGAATAAATTTTCTTGGCAGCATAGCATCAATATAACATAACAGTATAAATAAAAGATGCTTCACTTTTGTGCACTTCTGTAACTGGTACAGAAGTTGCTGAAAAGTTTTATGGATTATTTTGAACCAAGAACATGATCCTAGCCAGAAAATTTGTCCCTTCTATAGAATGTGTGTAAACAATACAGAATAAGATGCAACGTTTTGTTCCAGAGATTTTCAAGAGCTTCCCCTGCACTAAACTAATGGAGAATTCAGTCTTCAATCATGAAGGATGTGTAACTTTGTGATGAAATTGACAAGAACCTTGGAGTGTTTCCAGGCAAGCAAAAGTTTCATTTTTTGCACAAGTTACCATATTTACTAGAAGAGAACCAAATCACATGAGAATTCATATGCTATACAAAAAGCAGATTCAGATGAGAGACCATGAATATTAACTCATAAAGGGATCATAGAAATATATACCTTATTATTTCCAGAGAGGTCTATGTAACATGTCAACAGAAGCAGTATTGGTCTGATTCACTCACCGTTGAAATATTATGCAGTCCTCCCAGAGTTCTAATGGCTCTATCCTCATTTTCAACAACTCCTGGGTATTCAACTAGAATCAGTTGTTTGTCAAAGTTATGAATATTACAATGTTCTTCACTGTCCATGGTCTCGTCCCTGTGTTCACTTAATCCACGAAGTATTGGGTTTTGAGGTTATATTGGAACAATTACTCTTAATGCCTCTATATACTTACACATCCGTTATCTATATTTATTACATTCCAAAATTTGCAAGGAATTTAATTTACTACATTAATTAAGTACCGGTACGTAAGTAAATATTAACAGAACTGCTGTACTACAGGACGCCATTTTCCTTAATTTGTATTACAGCACCATCTTTGGAAAACAATGATAACTAATAAAAGAAATGAAGGTACATTTCGAAATATTTGCGGGACAACACATTCACCATCGATGTTGGTATAATATATTTTCAGTCTTTATTACAATGAAAATTGTGTCTGGACTACGCAGCAATGTACGTACGATAGCACAGAAACTGCCGGAAGATAACGAGGTGATGTAATTTTATATACATTTGCTCTTTTTAGGATTATTATTAATGTTTATTATAGCACCATCCTTTTGGACATAGAAACGAAATGTAGCACATTTCGAAATGTACACCGGACAGTTGAACCAAGGATACAGTGTCGTGGTGTGAAGAAGTATTTTTGGTATGTTACTGGAAAAAATGGAGATAAAGATAATTTGTAGGATATCACTCATATCACAGTTCCGTTAAAATAAGACTAAGTTGAGCTTCATTAGCGATTGGCTTGGTTGGACTGTACAGTTGAATCTTTGTACTTTGCTGTGTTTATATGTTTGCATGAGTGAGCCAATGTGAGAACTTCACACTTTTCACATAGTTAATTTGGAAATTCTTTGTAAATCTCTTATCTTTGTTATCTTGTTGATATACCTGACTTGTATGAAGGCTCTTGTTTGGAGAAAGCATTTAAGCACCTCAATAGGAATGTTAACATGGTTACCAAGTTTTGACAGAATATGCTGTACCACTTTCTTTACTCGGCTACCATTGTCACTTCCGATGTTTTGTTGTTCTGATGTGCATGACTGCAGCGTGGAATGGGGTGGGGCCTGCGTGTTATGAAGATGAAAGAAATAAAAAGATGGTGTGGCTAAGCACTTGTTTCACTGTCCTCAGTGCTTGTGGTTGAAGAAAGTACTTTGATTGAGGACTTTCCCAGAGCAAAACATTGCAATCTGAAGGGAAGGGATGGTCATATGAAGAAACTTTCCAAAATGTCAGTTTGATGAACTTGCCTCTTGCTATGAGTGACAGTTGATGAGTGATCATTACCCCCTGGGCACCCGCGCCCTCGTGCTTCTGGTGGTGGTCTTAGTTGCTAATCATCGTCGCAACATTTTTTATGCCTTCTGGAAAGCTTGCATATAATACGTCATCTAATGGATACTTTAGACTGCTTCAACTTCTTGCAACTTTTCTGAACATTTTTCCTTTGGTCTCAACTTGTCACGTCGGATGTCCACACGGCACAGTGGATTCATATGGATTTCTGTGCATAAAGGCTATTTTTGTGAATGCGTTGCTTTGAAAGGTTTCTTTTTTTAAACTGAACTGATGCAGTAGAGTCATTTTTGAGAAGCTGATAGTCTTTTATTTAGTCAAGAAATCCCAGCCACTGCCATGTTCACAAGAGCCTGTCCTGTCCTAAGTCAGTTTAGGCCTAATCCATTACATTTGTTTAAGATCCATTTTAATATCATCATCCCATCTAAGTGGTCTCATCCTAAAGGTTTCCAGACCAAAATTCCACATGAACTTCTTGTCTCTCACACGTGTCTTTTTGGAAATGAAATCAAAATTGTTATACTTTTAGTGCAATACGTAGAATATGTAATATGTTAAAAGTGAACCGAAATATTTTGTTGGCAAAATCAATCAAAAAATAGTTTATTGCTGGAAATTAGAACCTCCAAACAGCCGAGCATCCTCATTTTTATGTTGACAGCCGACTAATAAATTGGCGCAAGAAAGAACGGATTAATTTTTAATTAAGACTTAGTGTAATTTCATACGAAATTGTTTCTAAGGTTTTATTAGACTGGAAATATAGAAGCCTTATTAAATATCGCCATGCCCACGAGCATGTTTGCCTGTCCCTTCATTAATTAACCTCGTGTCCTGCCTGTTGCGTCATCTGAACGGAACGAGCGACCTGTGAGGATGGTAGTTATTTGCGAGGGCAGGGTCGAGCTGCGGCCTTTTGCGAACGTAACAGGTTTATTCGTCCTTCATGTTGGCATTTCCGATTGTAGTAAATCAAACCATACGAGTTCAGGATTGCCTTCAGTGGCGTAACGTCCAAAGCAAACTTCATAAAAATGTGTGTATCGGTTCGAGTTGAATCATACAGACAGACAGACACGGTCAGCGCTGTATGCGTTCGTTTCGTGCAAAGAACGTGTCTTTGAAACCCTGCTTGAAATGTTTTATAGTAGTCTGATATGTTCTTTAAACCAAAATATTTTTTTCTGTGTGTGTCGCAATGTGTACGTTGTCCAAATAAATGCGAACGCACTACGTAAGTTGCCCTTCTCCTGAAATCCATTCACACTTTAGATCTGCTTCCAAGAAAAGTGAGGTAACCCTCGTCAATGTCGGTCTTCTGGGTAGCAGGAATATTAATTCCATCTTGAGCCGTGAAGATGGAGGCAGTCCATTCCTGAGTTAGTATGTTCGGTGTTGAAAGAACTTGCTGGTCGAGAAGTGGATCAAGGCGAAGGATGTTTGGACGTGTTCGGCTTTATCTCGCCCGGTGTTTGTCAGGGCTTACACCGGAAGTTTGTTCCACGAACGACGACTCATTTGCATTGCCATGTTCTCGCTTATCTCGGCAAGGAGACGTTCGTTGCCTGTTGCCTCTGTCAGTTCCAGCCCGCAGAACTGCCGTCAGGGCATACATAGTTCGCCCTTTCCGCTTCAAAGTTTCGAACCAGTTGATCGGAAGTTTACAAACTTATGCCACACGCAGGAAATTGTACTCTGATTTCCATTTCATACTTTCAGCGCCGAGTAACTTCATGGAATAAGGTCCTTCTTCAAAAACTATCAGTGGCCCAGCTTCTCAAGATATTCCCTGCCTTCTTTGGAACCCAAAGGGCCATTACCGTATTCAGAAGTGCCCACCAGTGGTCCCTATTCTGAGCCAGAATGACTCTCGTAATGATTGTTGCCACATCTGCGTAAATAGACGGGTGACGCAGACTGCAGACATTGCGAATTGTCAGTCTCTAGAAAACGGATCTGAAGGAAGTGTTGTGGCCTTCTTGTAGGACACGCCGAGGAACAAAAAGGGCAAGACTTACTTCTTCGGGTTCCTCTATGTCGCAACTTTTGTGTCGCCGCGAATGTCTGATGATGTCACGGCGTATTTGCTCTTCCAACTTTCCACCTTTAACCACAGAATTTTGTGTTCCGTTCCTCCGCCCTCCAGTACAAACACACCCCGTTCCCTTCTCCTTCCTATTTCCTCCCGCTGTGTCAACAGATGTTTGGGTTTGCGTATGGCGGGTCTGCGAGAAATATCCATGTCTGGATTCGAAGCAATCATTACTACCACGTAGATGGTTCAGGAAACATCTGCGATGGTCCCGTCGGCTGTGCAATTGCTGGCGGCTCTATTTGGCGTCGTCGATTCCCATTTCCACGGTGGTTATACGTACGACCAGCCTCTGGTCCCGTTCACAGAGCGAGACAATGCGTCTACGTACACCAAGCAGGTAACAAAGGAAACTGTACATTAGTCGCCACTTCCGCCATGATTACGAATAATTTTTCATCTTTTAAAAAACTGTTATTAATATATATACTTTTTCTACGTGAAATGTGCATAAGAAAGTATTCTGATTTTGTCATATTTATAAAATTACTAGCCTAAGTGATTCTTCTTCGCTCAGGTTTTCAGTAGTTTCCTGTTTGTCACTGATCACAGTCTTAACCTTAGTTGCTATTTTGAAAATTCTGCACTAAATTAATACTTTGTTACGATATTAAGCTTGTAAACAGCGATTATTTCCTTAAACAGCGCTAACGAGTTGATCTATGTAATGGTGAAGTGTTGTGTTTTCTTCGCGGTACGGGCTGAATCGTTATATATCATTTACGCGAGCTCCGGTCTCAAAGGATTACTGTAAACTGTATTTCATGTCATGGCGGTTCGTCGGTTGTCGCTCTGTGCTCATAGTTCTGATGTCTTCGCTCGTTTTTCTTTTCAAATCGCCTGGTACCTTGTGAACCTAGCTGAGTGGCGACCAGTGTGTGGCCAGCTACGGGGCTTCGCAGTTCAGACTACAGTCGCCCAGATTTCCCGCGCCTTATCCACCTGGGCTACAGTGCATCTACGTGGTGGAGGCCGTGTCGACGGACATCTGCCTCCTACAGGCAACGTTCTTGACCTTTGACCTGGGTGACTGCGAGTCTGGTGACCATGTTATTATAGCTGGACAGAGACTTTGCGGCAGTGTGAACGGAGTTCAAACGTTCCGCTTCGGGCGTCCCAGATCGTTGATCCTGTTCAGGTAGGAAAACGTCACGGGGTCCCACAGGAAATCATTGCGTCGAAAGAGGAGGTTTGGGGGTGTCCGTTTGCTTCATATTGACCGCTGGTTCGCAGAAAGTCGTTCCAGGGTTGTGCTCATACGTGGAAGCTGTTTAAATAAACTTCGGGTCAAACATCGATATATAAGAATGCATAAAAGGTGAAATAGTTTGGCAGCATCGAAATATTTCGAGAGGTGTCCTTGCACGCACGCACAGACTTTATTTCGTGTTCATTACCTTGTTGACAACAGCCCGCCACTGGACCCTGTCATGCAGGACGAAGCGATCGTGACTGGAGTCCAGTTGTTTTGAAGCAAAGGAAACTTGCTTTGTGTTCCAGAACTGGGGCTGCGGAAGGGCGGAAGGGGTTCGACATAGCGGTCCGCCAGGTACCGTGTCCACTCACGTCGGTCCCCCACCGGGAGTGCAGCGCGAACTTCAGCGGTCGCAGCTTCGTGCTGCAGAGTACCGGGTATCCGGCTTCGTACCCCGGCAACGTACATTGCCAGTACGTGATTCGAGCCGCGGGTCCGTCGCCCCAGCAGTCTCTGTGCCAGGCGGCGTTCAGTTTCGAGAGCTTCAACGTCGACAGTTCCGAAGGCTGCAGCAGGGATCGGCTAGAAATCGGTGACCAGGATGTTCTCTGCGGTTTCTTCAACGGAGTGAGGACTTACGAATTTGTGGGCGAGTTACGCGCTCATTTCTATTCGGACGATTTTGGGAATCAAGGGGGATACAGAATCAGCGTCGTGCAACAGGGTTGCAGGATTCTGAATCTTCTTCCATCTGGAGGAGTAGATCCAGTGCCACCTACCCCAGTCTCCCCCCCATTTCATCTCCCACTCTGCTGCGGCAAGGTGTACAGTGGACACCAATTCTTCCTTGCGAGTCCCGGATTCCCGTTTAGCCATGCAAATCAAGATACAGACTGCGTATACGAGATCCACCCTTCGAGTCCAGGCGTGTGTAAACTCAGGATTCTGTTCAAGTTCTTCAGGGTCGGACAAGAGGAGAGTTACGGCGTGTGCTCGGGTGGATTTCTAGAAATAGATGGACGGCAGTACTGCGGCTGCGTACTGGGTCTCACGGTCACATCTGCGTTCGATGATCAGGGGAGCGGGCGACAGAAAGCCTTGCGTTATAGGAACGTCGCTAATTCTGGTGGATTCTTATTGGAAGTATTTCAAGAGGATTGTACAGGTTTTCCAGCTTGGGTTAGGCAAGATACCAGCGGTCAGTTCCAACAACATTACAAAACCACATCTCCCTATTACAGCGTTAATGTCGGTATTTCTAACTCGTCTTCATCTGCAATCATGGCCGATACGCGCACTGAGGAGCAGAAAACCTTTAGAGATCCCACCTCTGACAGTAACGCAAACCGATCCGATGGACAGTACTTCAGGACCCTGGAGCAGGCGCCTCGCGTCTCAGGCTATCCTCGTGAAACCGATGGTACAGGTGACAAATCGCTCGTTTTTGCAGTTGGCGCTACTGACAGAAACAAGAG